GCAGCACAATATACATGCACAGGGCTTGGCATGACCAGCCGATTGGTAGAACCTGGCCCATTCTACCGCCCGTCTAGGTGAAGTAAGGGCCGAAGTGGTGTGTTGGGCAAAAGGAACACTGTTCCTGGCTCCAGTGCCCTCAACCACCAGAATCCCGTCCTCCACGGACACAGGGGGGCAACCCACGGCAAACGGGTTGGTGGACCAAATATACCCCCGGGTCCACAACGGGGGGGTTGAAGAGCGCTTAGCGTTACCCAGCACTCTCCACGAGGAGGTGGCTCTTCACGGGTGCCCTGTGATAAAGATGTACATGCATGACGGGAAACTTATTTATCAAGACTTAACATTTATATTAATATTTCTTCAATAAAGAAACGATAATTAAATAAAGTAACACAAACATTCAACATTTATTTGTTAAGAAAAACGTTGATTTATATTTTTACACCACCTGTATTATTAGCATAGATGTAAAGACTTTTTCAGGTTTCTGTTGTTGAACTCTGAAAAAATCTTAAGTTGTTTTGGTACCAAATTCTCTCCTGTAAACTGCCCTTTAAATGCATGGGAATGTTAAATCAAGTGAAATAAAAATTAGGTACACTATAGGTGAGTTGATATATTGACAACATAATACATTTATCACCTTTCTAAAGATATTAAGGCTAAAAAGCATTTTTCTAGCATTTCCGACAGCACTTTAGTATAAGATTTCCAAGGATGTTCCATCCATTTTTTACATTTGATAACTACATTTTTCGAATGTGACTTCTGGTTGCCGTCGTCGGCGGCGTCGTCATCATCGATAGTGACAACATCACCTTGTTTTCGTTCTGGTTTCTTAGGTGGAGGTGGTTAGAGTTGTTGATTACCTCAGAGATCCCTCGTGTTCAGCATTGCTTCTGTGGCCTGTTCTCGCCATGGTGAGCTGCTCGTCAACCTTGGCGTTGAAAGGGGTTGTCGTCGCTAAAGTGACCTGAAGAAAGAGAATAACATTTTGCTTTATGAAAAAATACATATGTTTTATTGGCACACCAATGTTACAATTGAAGAGAACACTTTTACTGATTAAACAGTTTGCAGAGTAACAGTAGCAAAACATTATTTAACCAGGCATGGTTTGTATACTCAAAGAAAAAGATCGGTTAATGACCATCTCAATTTTCAATATCAAAGTATTTAAAAGTTCATATTATGATCTACATAACACTTAAGTAGTGGATTTGGGGATGGTTTTTGTTGAGTATATTTCACTATAGTCCGTTTGAGTCAAAATCCCCCCCAATGAATTGCACACTAACTCAAAAACATATAATTGTAAATGACTCAAACCAACGCCAAAGTAAATAGGGAAAACGCACCAACTCTGCAGAATTTTGTTATCATTTTTGTCAACAAAATAAAAAAGTTGTTTAATAAACCATCATTATTTTCATTCGATACTACAAGATTTGTGACAAGGGTGTAGCAACAGCTCAGGTAACAGCATCGAAACAACATCGCACGTGCCTCTCGCTTACCTGGCTGTTACCTGAGCTGTCTCTACACCATTGTCACAAATCTTGAAATATCGAATGAAAACAATGATGGTTTGTTAAACAACTTTTATATTTTGTTGACAAAAAATATAATAAAATTCTGCAGAGTTGGTGTGTTTTTCCTATTTACTTTGGCGTTGGTTTGAGTCATTTACAATTATATGTTTTTGAGTTAGTGTGCAATTCATTGGGGAGATTTTGACTCAGACGGACTGTACTTTTCATGTACTAAAAAGTCATGCAATCGAATGAATATTACCTTTCCTGAATGGCCAGAAAATCTTCCATCCAGACCTGCCTCGTCGCACATTGTCTTGAACATTTTCTGCAATGTGTGCATCCCAACTTTGTGTTGTGAGTATCGCAGTTTTCCGTCCTCAGCTGCAAGAGGTCGTCTGTGGAAAGGACCCTCAGCCGGTATTGCTGCCAAGTAGGTCTCGAGATGTCCCACAAAACATCGTGGGTTGTCAGGTTGGGCGTATTGTTTCATATCCCTGAAAGAAACACTTAATATTCACCCGGGGCGACTAAAATCGTATAAATATGCTTCAATTGAAATTCAAACTTAGTCCGTGATCTATTTTTTGCTGTCGAAAGGAAAATGCCGGTTTCGCTAATTAAAGATTTACCAATGAGTTTTTCACGCAAACTATCTTTCGCCGGCTAAAATTGCTCATTAACATAGGAAGAGGTGATTTTATTGTAAGTTATAGGCGAGTTACTGAAATATACTGAAAGGCAGAAAAAACAAATTGGAACTGATGTCCACAATTAGTGATATGGGTTATTACAACTCAAGGATTTACTTTTTGTCTAAATGTGCCAACTTTAAGGGTTTATAGGTCGTAACATACTTTTGAAGGTTCGAATCAATATCTAAAAAGTATTTTTAAGACTGAATTTGCGTTTCCTTTTTTCTCAGTATACCTGTTTGGAAAATACTTACTTGAACTGAATCTTTCCACACTGCTTACGCCCGCCGTGACACGCCCAAAGAATCGCACGTATTCTCCAACAGAATATCGGCCAAATTGACTCACTTCCAGTTTGGCGTGTTCATCAGCCGCCCTTAATCCAAAAACTTTTCGTAGGAGAAGTAATGTGCATGTAGCAAACCACAAGAAGTCTCAGAAAAAAATGTTCCCTTAGCCCACAACTTCTCCTCTTCAAAAGGCGTGACAAGCTGTGCTTGCCGTGAAGAGAGTCCAAAACCCTTTTGGTTGATTTGTTTCATCACACCATCAAGAGTGGCACGAGAGTTACTGAATTTGTGTTTATTCACATCCATGAAGTTTAGATCTGGGGCTCCTTTCACGAAGCAACCTTTACTAAGATTAACCTTAACTCCCATTCTTTAACATTGCACTAAGGTTACCTTAGCGACTTACGATCACCTTAGTGCTTTGTGAAAGGAGGCCCTGGTCTCTTACAAACGTCACGCAAGTAGCGCCATATACCGATACAAATATTGTTGACCAACAGTGCGGGATACACGGTTCCATCTTGTCGTTTAATTTTACAAATAAAGCGACACATCCAAAAGTCGAGGGCGTCTGCAGGAATCTCAGCAGAGAGAGGAGGTACATTATACATACTGCTCACTTACAGCTGTACCTTGTTGAGCTATTCGTGTGTTTCTGTTTTTCGCCCACGAGTCGTAGATGTTTACACACCATTTAGTATTCCGTGGTGTATTTTGAGGAATCCGATTTTTATGCAAGGCTTCGATAAATTCTCCAGTCACAGGTTCACTATAGCGCCGTTGCTCCTGACTAGATGTAAGTTTAAAGTCTTCTCGGTCCTCAAAGTCAATTTGAGACAACAACTCGTCTGCATCCATATCGAACTCCATGGCTCAATAAAGGTATAACACGTGTTCTGCTTTTATACCTGAATATTGCACGTGCAGGAACGCCATGCTCGTGCATTTCGGATGAGCCAATCAAATCACTTGGGAAAACATTCATAGTACTACGGATTTCATTGACAAAAACTGGAGGGACCCAAATAAGGTTGTGGAAATTCACAATGTTTCAAGAATTAAAAAGATATAAATTGTTTTCACTCGGTATTAATGAGATGTAAGTCACCTTTTACATATTACAACATACAGTGAAGCTTTCAAAACGTTTTATGGTAAGGACATTTACAAATTTGACGCATCAATGACAAAAATATAACCCGAAGTATTTCCCTATTTAGAGTCGCCTAATATGTTTCCAAGTAGTTTTCAGGTTAACTTATAGTTTACTTTCCTTACAATGTGTTTATTATGGGCGTCATCAGTGGGACAGGATGCGCTCAACTTTTCCCAAATATCTGTACTTATTACAATGACAGCCAACGTGAGCCTCACCATCCACTTACGACTACAGGAGATGCAAAAAGACAGATTCTGACTCAGAATTATAACAAGATACAAAGTGACATGGCAACAGTGACGCTTATTCACATTCTGGGTGAACAAAACACACATATAAATCAGTTTTCTACTGTTACAGGAATCTCTTTACAGGTCTGTGATACCCGGAACAGGGGGGTACTTCTCTTGAACATCCGACAATACAAATAACAGCTGTACATTACGTCGACAGAAATACATTTGGTCACGTTGCTCCATCAGACAAATGTAGTACCAAATGATGAATATATACGTAGCATGCATTAACAATAAGTATTAGACATACTATCAAACCTCTCAGGTGAACAGTGTACGACAATTGCTAGTACCTACTGAAAAATGCCCATAACAAAGGAATATGTCAACATTACAAAACTATTAGGCCCAGTCTCATGAATCGATCTGAGCGTTATAACTATCACAATTACTGATTCAACACTGGGTGAACACTTATTACTGAAGCAATCAGCGATACACCAGCAGTGTGAATGTAGCCAAGTCTGCGCCAATAAGGGAATAAGTGGTCAATATTACAACATACAAGACCTCATTGAAGCTTTCAAAAAAGTTGTATAGTAAGGACATTTACAAATCAATGACAAAAATAGAATCCGATGTATTTTGCTTATTTTGAGTTGCGCTTATGGTTCAGTGTAGTTTTCAGGTTAACTTACAGTTGACTTTCCTTGCAATATGTTTATTAATGGCGCCATTGGTTAGACAGGATGCACTCAACTTTTTCCAAATATCTGTACTGGTTACAATGACAGCCAATGTCAGCCTCATCCACTTACGATTACAGGAGATGCAAGAGACAGATTCTGACTCAGAATTATAACTTGAGGGAGAGTCAACAAGATACGAAGTCACATGGCAACAGTGACGCTTATTGAACATTCCGGGTGAACAAAACACACATACAAATCTGTATCCTACTGTTATTGCTAATCTACCATTAGGTTTACAGGTCTGTGTCATGTCAGTAAGTTGCTATCTTAAGATAACCGATTACTACTGCCATGATGAAAAGCATGAAAAACACCAAAAAGACAATCATGTCAGCCATTCTGCTGACCTGCATCCATGTAATTGATGAGGGTTCCGATGTTTCCTTCGACATCCTTTCCTGAGTCGAGGTCTCCTGGGTTCCCACAGGAGGAGTGCCACAGAAGCATCTCTCCCCAGGACCTTGTCATACGTCCCATCCACGTGAGAACAGGCTTGATGGCGGCGTCGCGATGGAACACGTGCATGATCCAGATGGTCAGGAACACGTAGATAGAGCTCATCACAAACAGACCAACAATGAACAAAGTAAACACAGGTATACTGTCAGCGTTCTGTGGCAGCAGTCCAGTGACGAAGGACAGGGATACAGTGAAAGACAGCAACACACTGTTGGCAAAGGACAGCTTCTCGCCAGACTCCACAGGAATGAGGAACACCACCACATTCACTAATCCCAGCACCAGGACAAGCAGGATAGTTGTCAGTATCGCCAAAGATGGCTTTCTCTTCAGGGTCATGTTAAAGTATACAAAGCAAAAAGGTGTGTCGGTGATGTGAAAGACAACTTTCTGAAATGATGAGTTAACTATATCCCACTGGCTGTTAGAGTTAAACAAATATAATCCTATATAGTTTCTAGAGGGTTTTAAATCTACTTCTTTCGGATAACTTCCCCACTCAAACATGATATATGTACTCTCCTGTTCATCCAAAGGAAAGTTGGTAACATCCATCTGGCAGAAAGTTTTGAAGATATCGCCAGGTGACCAAGTCACAATTCCTTGGGCGGTCACTTTCATGATCCCAAAGTCGAGTCTCAGAGGCGGAATACGATCCACCACGTTGCGAATAGTGATGTAAGGTCTCCAAATCTTCCCATAGTCAGGACAAATTTCACTGACTCGCCCATACTCACTGGCGTTCCAGGTTAGAAACTCATCTTTCCAGGTCACGAAGAAAAAAACTGTGGCTGTCACTCGCTGAGTGACTTCACCAAAATCGGACATGCTGACAAGATGAAGTTCCAGTGAGACCGTGATTGTGTCACTGCTGTTCTTGACTGGTCTGACATTGGGGTTGTTGTTTCTGATGAGGTCATTGTGTAGTCGAAGTACATGGTGGTCGTCCTGACCTCTAGCTGCCCCCAGGAACAACAGTAGACAAAGTCCACATGTTGCTCCCTTGAGGTGACGCAAGCCTAGCTCTGTGTACAGCCCCAACACATACATTCTCTGCCTTGTATTTAACTTTAACTGTCCATACTCTACTTGGTTGCTGGTCGGTGATGTCGTATTTGTGTCGGTCAGGTTATATTGATCATTTGCTAACGAAGGTAAAAAAAGATTTTATTCATACAGTCTTTGAATTGGGCAAGCCAGTAGTCGAATTTATGTTCTTCGTATTTTAATGTTACCTTGCCATCATTCCTTATATAAATACCATGCGCTGTTCTGTGTACACTGCCCACCCAATTAACGACACATTTGTTTGTACCGATCTGTACTTTCAATATCTTCCTTTTAAGAAATAAATACTGCTTTAATAGCGGTACAAGAAATATCCAGTAATATTTCATACTCTCACTACATATAGATCTAACTATAGGTACTAACTAGATCTACGCTGGAATAGATCACATGGCACCATGAAGAAAAGACCTTGAACTATTTCGCTGAGTCATCCGTATTTCATCGTGGCATATGATCAAAGACATTGATTAATTTTCGTTCAAAAGGTCGTGTGACCACGTTGACGTTTACTCTGGAAGAACAATCAATTATAGTCAGTATACAGTTTGCGCGTCACCTAATGCTTCATATAGATATTGAGAGAGAGCAAATACTTCAAGAAATACTTAAAGCTGAAGGCCTTTTTATCTCTGTGAACACTTTTGACAGCTTGGGTAGTAGAGATACTTTCCGTTGGCAGCAAAATGACACAGGCAAATAATACATATGGAGAGAAAGAAGCAAAACATGATGAATCACCATCATAGGACGTCTACACCCAGCACAGTTCTAAACGTCACGCAATCTGACGGGTATGAGTCTTACAATCATATTCACAGAAGCCAAAATAACAAAGTTATTTTACAAAGATACTACGACTGTAAAGCACAAATAAAATACAGCACGAAAATAATACCTTCTTTGAGTGGCATATTTAAAAGTTGCTGAATCGGAGAAACTTTATGGATGAGCAACTTCTTTATAATAAAGTACAGTACACTCTGTCTAATTTGGACCGGCTTGGGACCGACTAAAAAGTCCGAATTAGACAGCAGTCCGAGGTACACAGAAAAAAATACGTCTGACCAGATGTAGACTCTGATGCGCACCAAACATATGCGATCGACAATTATCCGTAAAAAACGATGATCCCCGCTGAACTAGATCTGCGAAATTGTAAACAAGCAATAGCTGGATTCTGTATAATTGACATACAGAATATTGTTTCGAATCAAATAGGATATGACTCGTGGGGTGGGGTGCAATCGGTCTGAACCAGAGAGTTGGTCCCATTTTGTTCCCGAGTCTCGGTCAAGGACGAGGAAATGGAGTCAAAAGACCCCACGTTGTACCACATTTTGGACGTCCCAGAAATCACGTCTTCCAGCAAGACAAAGCTCGTGCCTGCACTGCCAGAGCACCATTGGACTTCCTAAGACAACATGACATCCAAACCCCACAATGACATGTACTCAGTCCGGATTGAAGGCCAATAGAACGCCTTTAAACGAGATTCAAAGAAGACTGAATGACCACCAACCAATGCCGACAACTGCGGCTGGACTCGATCAGGCATTTTGCAGAGTATGGCCCGGCTAATTCATTCCATGTACAGATGATGCAACGCAGTCATCGATGCCCATGGAAGCAATACACGATACTGACTTTGAGGTTTCCTAATGTATCATTATTGTGTGAACTCTAGATGTGATTCCCGAAAATGTGTTAACCATAATTGTCAAGTTTGGACTCAATCCTCCGTTTTGATTGTTAATTAGAGCGAAATGTATTGGTTTTAGGAAAACTATTAATCATACACTACTTAAAATACAAATTATAGGACTTTTGGCATCTGGCATGCCCAGCATTGGCACTGTGGAACGATTGCCCTAGTGTCACCTTCATGATGGTGGCGCTGTGGAATGATTGAGCTAGTGTCCACTTCACGATGGTGGCGCTGTGGAATGATTGCTCTAGTGTCAACTTCACGATGGTGGCGCTGTGGAATGATTGCTCTAGTGTCAACTTCACGATGGTGGCACTGTAAAATGTTTGCCCTAGTGTCAACTTCACGATGGTGGCGCTGTGGAATGATTGAGCTAGTGTCAACTTCACGATGGTGGCGCTGTGGAATGATTGAGCTAGTGTCAACTTCACGATGGTGGCGCTGTGAAATGATTGAGCTAGTGTCAACTTCACGATGGTGGCGCTGTGAAATGATTGCCCTAGTGTCAACTTCACGATGGTGGCGCTGTTGAATGATTGAGCTAGTGTCAACTTCACGATGGTGGTGCTATGGAATGATTGCCCTAGTGTCAACTTCACGATGGTGGCGCTGTTGAATGATTGCCCTAGTGTCAACTTCACGATGGTGGCGCTGTTGAATGGTTGAGCTATTGTCAACATCACGATGGTGGCGCTATGGAATGATTGCCCTAGTGTCAACTTCACGATGGTGGCGCTGTTGAACTATTGACCTAGTGTCAACTTCACGATGGTGGCACTGTGAAATGATTGCCCTAGTGTCAACTTCACGATGGTGGCGCTGTGGAATGATTGAGCTAGTGTCCACTTCACGATGGTGGCACTGTGAAGTGATTGCCCTAGTGTCAACTTCACGATGGTGGCACTATGAAATGATTGCCCTAGTGTCAACTTCACGATGGTGGCGCTGTGAAATGATTGCCCTAGTGTCAACTTCACGATGGTGGTGCTATGGAATGATTGCCCTAGTGTCAACTTCACGATGGTGGCGCTGTGGAATGACTTAAATCATACAGTTAAATGGGTGAAATATACTCATGGAAACGAATAAGGTTCCTTTATTCTTTTCCAGGTTTCTTCACAAGCTTTGTATTGCACTGTGGGCGAAATTCTGGAAATATATAAAGGAAAACTTGTACTGTCATGTGTTTCCTTATTCGTTTCCATGAGTATATTGAGATTGATGACAGATGTATGCAATCAATCTTAGAGCCCTAAAAGCGTGCAAGGTCAGAACCATACAATGGTCACTTCAGCTCCAATGTTAGTATTTGGTTCATCGAGAACTAATTTCGATTCCCAATAATTGATCAACTTCTGGAATAGTACTCTAGAACTCCGTGTTGACAGTTTAAGACGGTAACTGTGGGTTGTCAGAATAGAGACACAGAGTAGGTCTGCATGGCGCCAATACTCGGGAAACGTGTCAATAGTGTTTGATCCGTGACGACATTAGGCTGCAATACGACCACGTTTCTAACACCCTGCTGTTAATATCTCTCCAGAACATGTCATCCCGAGACGGAGATGAAGTGTTTATTCGAGCTTCTCGCTGGCTGTACCTCCGTTTGATGATATTGATGATAGTTATTGGACACTGCGTGTATTTTCCTCCGCATTAAACAGTTTCAGAAAAGCAAATATTGCTCTAGTAGTCGCCAAAGACAACACATATATTTGTTCCTGGCATTGTAAATGCCAGTAAGAATCAATTCGTTCCTGCATACGTTATTGCATTACCAAGCCAATTAATAGAGAATTTTTAACAAATGATCGATATCAGTAAAACATTTCCATGGAGTTATCGTCTCAGGAATAATGCAATACCGCACACCCGGCTGCCACTAGTCAAGGCGGACCAGGGTAGGCTGGTACCAGTAGTACGTTCTGCAGTGATACCTCTGTTGTTGTCACCCTGGGAAACTGCCGAGGCTGTCGGTTGGAGATTGAATTTAGTCTATTCCCTTGGCCTTTGACAATATGAAGGTGGAGATTGAACGTAGCCGCAGATGCTTACATGACGTAGTTAGTGAACTGCTCCACAGTATGAGAGTATCTGTGAGAAAGGACGGAAGTATGACAAGAGTCCTATTTGGTCCTGCATAAGTTAAGAAATTAGGAAACGCTCCAAAATCGTTCATGTCGCTATCAGATATGTTTACATGAGGGAGAGCTGGAGTTTCAACATTTCAACACATGTATGATTTCTACTTGATATACTAGACGTATAAATAGAAAGATTGTAGAAAAGGCATATTTCAGAAGTTGTAAGGAAACACATATTTAAGATTTAATCAACCCTGAGTTGCCTATGTTGAAAGGGGGTATAGTCACGAATACGGTTGACCATCGATCACGTGACCTGATCATACCGGAAATCATTATTATCATTATATCCACACTCCGGCACAGCGATGACTTAACATAACATCACTGCCACAGGCTAATTTGCATGTCACGTGACCGGACTTTTCTCTTGTTTGTAATCAAACGCGCATATTCATAATAAGAAGAGACGGGACTCACGAAAGCTTTTCGGCGCTCTCTTCATAATGTTTTACATTGTTACTTATATATTCTTCCACAACAGCGACAGTAAGGTTTATGACAGTACATATTTAGATATCAAACTGGCTGCATCGTTTGCTCTCCGTCGGCTTCGATGACTGCACGTGGAGCCGTACAACCTATGTAAACAAAGGATCGCTATGCAAATCGAAATAGTGTAACATGTTTTTGGATATTTTCTCAGTGAAACTGAACCATTCTATTAAAGATGATTAGCTAGATGTGTAGACTCGTCAAAAATAAAAGAGTAAAAGAAATCTGTACATTATATTGAATGGACATTGCAAGATGTGACGAATCGTCACATTTTTCTGGCCTGTGGCAGAGGTACTATGCTGGCTTGCCGCATGGAACTCTGGGTAGGAGAGTGCATTATATCCATACCATTGCGACAATGGATTCTAAACAATTGTACTTTTGAAGTTTCCTACTCTCGGGGCATTTTGAAACAAGAATCATCAGCAACCACATTGATGACTGGCGACACACTCCACAGTGGAGATGTCTATACCCATACTGTACAATACCAGACAATACCAGTTGGAATGAGCCTGAAGACCAGGTTAGGGCCACCAGGAAAAGGTAAGCTTTGCAGCAGTTGTAAACTTTCAATAAATACCCACAGTCGATACTGTTATAGAAGACTGTGCCGACATACAGCCACAGCA